ACTCATACCTGGGAATTGAACTTCAGAAATCTCCTGCAAGATCTCGTAGAAATCTGTTTCGCCTTTCACACATATTCCATAATTACTTGTCGCCCGATGTCTACCATAGTCATAGGTATGAAAAGTATAGCCTCGGGTGAAATACATCGATGATGCAGTGACCTTTGCAACTGGACCTTGAAGTAATTTGCGAAACCATGCGGGATACTCAGGATCGTCATAATCAACCTGCAAAAAAAGTAATAGAACTAGACATTAGACTTAATTTGTGGTAATGTATGCATAAAATTTAAGCTATAATAAATATTTGTTTCCTCAATCACTTGATAAAATGTTGATCTTTTCTTTTGTCTAACTCAGTTGTCGATATACCAGGTATTGCTTCTTTGACTTGAGTCACAAATTGGCTGTAAAATCATATATGTTATGTTATTTAATATTGAAAAATATATGTTTATGTTTTATATATGTGTGTATGTTTATATATTTACCTTTCAAACTAACCAATCAATGGATGTTCGCAATTAAGAAGAATATAAAGATGTGCACTAAGGACGTTTTCATCACTCGACCACCAAACCTCTTTCAATTTCCCACCCAATCACCCAATTTGACAAAAGATGTCTGGAACATCGTCTTCCATATATGTCGGCACGACACCACCACCATCATATCTTCTTGGAGCTCGTTTCCTTGTACGTACTTTCGGTGCAAAGTAGTACGATGTGAAATGTGATGTTTCTTCCGTCAAACTTCCCGCAACAATAAAACCTTCAACTGTTGCTAGGTTTTTGGCTTTTCCTTTGAAAGTTTTCATGGCCCTTTCATACTGATACATCCATCCATAATGCACAGGTCCACGAAGTAATGCCTCATACGAGAGGTGGACAACTAGGTGTTCCATGACGTCAAAAAAGTAGGCGGAAATATTTTCTCCAAGTTGCAGATTAAGACGGGGATGTTTTCATGAAGTTGTTGGACAACTTCCTCTTTAAGAGTGCGGGTGCTCAGATCCCTAAAAAATGTCCCAATTCCTTTGCGTCGTATTATATTAATTACCTGAAAGTGCTTCATATACTTTTGCCGGTAGTAGCTCCGCAAATGCAAAGGGAAGTAATCACTGCATAAAGACATGACAAACATGGCTCTTCAACCCGGAGAACTTTTTCCCTTTCTCAACACATCTTTAGAGATTTGAAACATACCCATCAGGGAACTTCACTTCTGAAGCCACCCAGTTGAACAACGAAGACTTTTTTTCCTGATGACAGTCTGAATATCGGAACTGGAACTTGCCCATTGCTTTTTATATGTAGCTCACTACTTGAGCAGATATTGGGTAAGTCCAAACCTCGATTTTACGTTGTCTTTCGTCTTCCCTGGGACATTCAATATAGTGTTCACTATGTTCTCAAAAAACTTCTTCTCTATATGCATCACATCGAGGTTGTGGCGCAAGAGAAGATCTTTCCAATATGGCAATTCCCAAAATATACTCTTTTTGTGCCAATTGTGCTGAACACCATAAGAATCATGCATATTACTAGGAACATGCCAATTCCCACCACGAGGAGCTGTTTCTAGAGCACTGTAGTAATCGATTTGCGCTTCGATTTGTTCTCCAGTTAAATATGGAGGAGGAGTGTCTCTGACAACCTTTTTGTGCCTGAACAATGTCTTGTTTCTTCGGTATGGGTGGTAAACGGGAAAAATCGACGGTGACCATCGAACCAACTAGTCTTCCCACCATGCTTCAACTGAAACGCATCTGTCATTCCATTACAATATGGACAACCTAATCTCCCATGTGTAGTCCACCCAAACAACATCCCATATGCATGAAAGTTACTTATGGTCCACAAAAGCATCGTTCGCATCGTAAAGTTTGTTTTCGTTGAACAATCATATGTCCTCACCCCTGTTGACCACAAATCTTTCAACTCTTTTATTAGTGGTTGTAGAAACACGTCGAGAGATCTTTTTGGATGCTTTTGACCAGGTATTAATATGGTCAAGAATAGAAACTCTCGTCGCATGCACATCTCCGGTGGCAGGTTGTACGGTGTAAGAAAGACCGGCCACAATGAATATTGTCTCCCTGACATTCCAAATGGACTAATTCCATCAGTGCATAATCCAAGATACACATTCCGGGTATTGCTAGTGAAATGTGGATGTACATTGTTAAAATGTTTCTAGGCTCTTGCATCTGATGGATGAGTCATCTCTCCATCCGTCTGAGTATGCTCGGCATGCCATCTCATCCCTCGAGCAGTCTCCTCAGATTGGTACAATCTTTTCAATCTGTCTGTGATTGGTAGGTACCACATCCTTTGGTACGGTACCCTATTACGCCCTCGACCTTGCGGTTTGAATCATGGCTTCTTACAAAATCGACATTCTTCTAACTTCTCATCATCTCCCCAGTAAATCATGCAGTTGTCGATGCAAACGTCTATCATCTCCGAGGGCAACCCAAGACTATATACCAATTTCTGAATCTGATAATGAGATTCAGCAGACACATTATCTTCTGGAAAATACTCTTTAAACAAGTCTGCCCAGGCATCCATACAATTTTCAGGTAGATTGTGATCGGTGTTAATACTCATCATCCTAGCAGCCAACGAAAATTTAGACAGACCTTCTCTACAACCACTCTAAATTGGCTCATTCGCAGCTTCTAACATTTCATAAAAAAAATTTTGCATCTAAGTTAGGTTCTTCAACTTCATCATCATCATGAGTTACAAATGCATCACCGACCATATCATGAACCCTATCACAATCTACCATTTCTTCCTCTCGGTGATGATAGCTATTTATTAAATGCTTCCAAACATTTTCACAAGGGCCTAATATTGTATTGCAGCATTTCCGACAAGGACAAAACATCATACCACTTTCCTGCGTGAGTGGTGTAGAATCTGCTTGATGCATAAACGTCTCCAACCCTTCGAGAAATTCTTTCTTCACTCTCCCGTTATTATCTTTTTGTGAATACATCCACTTCCGCAACTCGAAAATATTTCCCGTACCGGACATTTTTTTTGTCTTTGATCAAGCTTAAAACTGATTTTTTTTTTTGGTGTGTTTGAAATGAATCACAAATGGTGGTACTTATAGAAATGTTCGAATCTGAGCATTTACTAGGAAATTGCTAGGAAAAATAGGTACAAAACACGTTTTAGATTTAAATTAGATATTTTCTACCAAGTTCCTCGCTAATTTGAAGTAAAAGATCATTTCCTCCTAATTTCGTTGTAAAGATTTACTAGGACTTTACGAGGAAAGTATTTACTACGAGCTTACGAGGAAATGGCCTTTTGCCACGCAGTTTCCTTATAAGTTTACTACGGTCTTACGAGGAAAACGTTTTCTCGTAACTTTACGAGGAAACTTGCTTTCCTCGTAAACCCGAAGTAAGCTCGTAGTAAATTTACCAGGAATTATTTTCCTAGTAAAATTTCCTAGTAAAATCTTAGTTTTCTTGTAGTGGCATGTCCAACACCAAAAACCACGGCTCTTCAGCGATAGATCGAAAATCCACTACCAAGTCCGATGGCTCCTCCACACCGGTTCAAACCGCCGGCTTCACCCCGATTTCTAAGAAACCGAATGGGAAAGCCTCTGCCTCCTCGACGATTTCAAGCAATACTCGCGGCAAGGCTGTTGTCTCAATTGCGTCTGGTAATGAAGCCATGTTCTTCAGAGAGATTTCCTTGGGCCCACACGAAGCCGATTTGGTGTTTCGACTGGTCCATTTCTGGGAAGCGCGAAACCCACTCACAAAAACGCTAATTGGAGAGGAGATGCTCCTCTTCGATGCAGAGGTCCGTCTACTCTTCCTTTACTCCAATCTTTTTAATTATTTGGTTCGATAGTAATGTTTTCTGATGTCAAACTTTTAATTCTCCTCAGGAAAATGCCATCCAAGTTTTATTCCTGCAGGGCAGGTTGATGCTTATTTGCCACAGTTGGTAGTTGGTTCAATATATCGTCTCAGAAACTTTTTCGGGTCGAAGAACAAAGACAACTTCCGGGTATCTGACCACAGCGTCACAGTGTCGTTCTCATGGAACTCGCATCTATTGCCCCTTGAGAACAGCCCGGTTCAGATTTCTGAGGATCGTTTTTGGTTTCACAGCCATGAGGAGTTCGAAGCCAACTGTGATCAGAAAGGAGACCTATATGGTAAGCGTTTTCTATACCATTTTACGTGTACATGAGAAATTTAAATAATTAATGGATTTGAATATAATTACATCTTGGTTTAGGTAGTGATTCTTTGTATTAACCTGTATATATAATGGTATGGATTATAGAAATACAACTCTATTTCATTTCTACTCATACATGTGAAAAACAAATAAGTAATGGGTTTTTATATAATAGTATGGATGATAGAAATACAAATTCTAAGAATTATATCTTTGTCTAGGTTGGGAGCATCTGTATTAGACTGTATATATATGTATTAATATCGATGATCAAAATTCAAATTTTTAGATAAATATCAAAAAAGATATTGTTTATCTTAGTCTGGAGATTGAATATCGAGGTGTTTGATTATAATTATATCTTATTTTAAGTTTTTTTTCCCTTTGTATGAAACTGTATATATAGATAATGGTATGAAAACTATAAATACAAAATATAAGAATTATATCTTAGTTTTAGTTGTTAGCATATGTATAAGACTCTATATATATATAATGCTATCGGTGATTGAAATACAAATATTCAGATAGATATTAAAAGGTAAACTGTTTCTCTTAGACAAACCCAACCATTGAATTCGGCTTTTATTTGATCAAACAAGTTCAATAGATAAGTACTAATACAAAGACGCTATGGATGTTACTTTTGTTTTATAACAATTCGCTAATGTTCTTTTTTTGTCAGTGGGTTGTGTTAGTTTAGTATTCTCCAAATTGATGTGCTTTAAATAATTTAAGTATTAGTTATAGGCATTAAGATATTGTAGCCTCTCTAAAGTAATGGTTTATGCATTTACATTTCACTTTCGATGTTACATTTATAGACATTAAGATGTTTGCCAACTTACCTTCTACTGTTTCAGATTACGTAGGCCACATGAGGGTGATCAATGGGAAGGCTATCACCGATCATCCCACCCATGATGAATCGAGCATAGCAGAGAAATGACACCTCATGGTTCATGTTCTGACACATGAGTAAGTGTTTCCAATGAGTTTAACTTATGTTCTGTGTCTTTTGCTTAACACTTTAGTTTTATTCTCTTCAGCAGACCAATGTTAAAGCTCTACCTGTGGGACAAAGCCGCAAATGACTTCTGCCAGAAGTTCAAGACGTATGAAAGCACTCCAGCAGTTCTTTTGGTGACCACAGTGAATCCTAAACGTCTTGGAGGTTATCATTTCAATCCTTATTCTTTTCATAGAGATATATAGAGATGACATTAAGAGTTCAAATTAGTTGTTTACCATTTGAATACTAAATTCAAGTTTTATGCTAGGAACCCTAGCTATAACTTCTATGTCATCATCTCGAGTCTTTATGGACAACGAAGTTCAGCAGACCCGAGACTATCTTAACTTGTAGGTTCTTAATTATTAAAATTGTATTTTCAATGCAAGTATGGTTTTCACATAGTTTACGTTTGTCATTCTTCACAGGTTACGCTCAAACTCAGATATTGCTAACCAGGTTAAGCCAGAGGTTGTTACTAAACCTGAGATAGTAACCATAGGAGAAGTATTCTCCTACATCAAGGATGAATCTGCTAAGGTATAGGGTTTGATGTACTTTGTAAACAATTAGTATATGCTTGCGGATTTGAATTTATTTATGTCAAAACTATCTTAGGTGGCTTGGTTTGAGTGCTCGGCGACAATAGATGATGTTGTCCAAAGTTCTCCATGGTATTATATATCTTGCGGTGAGTGCCACACAAAAGCAACCAAAGGGCCTACTTCTCTAATTTGTAACAATCCAAAGTGTGAGAAAGGGGTGGTTGAGGGCACTCCACAGTAAGAGTTCTAATCTATGATCTATCTACCTTCTACAAGAATCCATTACTGATTCCCTTCCATGACAGGTACATCACAAAAATTTCAGTATATGACAAGAGTGACCAAGAATTTTTTGTCATTCTTGGTGATGCTGGTCACCAGCTAACAGGAAAGCATGCATCAGAATTAGTTGCACGTTACTTTGAGGTAATATTAATCCTCTTTATATATTGGTTTATGTAAGTGAGACTGATACATGTTTTACTTGCGTATCAGGCTAATGAGAGCATAGGAGCTGATCAATCAGTACCGGTTCCGCAAGCTCTACTTGATACCATTGGGCAGACCCGGAAATTCATTGTCAAGGTCTCAAAGCACAACTTCACAGGCAGTATCCAGTCCATAACTGTGACTAAGGTACTTCCACCAGAAGCCCCACATCCTATAGCACTTTTGGAAGAGGATGCAGTTGAAGAGTATAATCCTTCTGAAGATGTTGGAGAACCTGATGATGCTAGGAATAGGAAGGCTTCTGAAACTCTTGAGCCAAAGGAAACCAAACGTGCTGAAAGTGGCTAATAGATAGCTTCTATGAATCCTCCCAAGCAGTGAGAGATCACTGCAAGCTTTGAGTTTATCTACTGTTTTGCCTTATTACTATTTTCATTTTCAGACTTTCAACATTTGCTGTCATTTTACCTTATCCTAAGTACAGCTTGGTTTTCATACTCTGATTCCTTGCTCTTTTTTTTTTTGGTTAAGAATAGTTAGTACTTTTCTCTTTTTTTTTTCTGGTAAAAAAAATTAGTACTTAAAATAATAACAGACAGTAACAATGAGAACTCAATTTCAAAACATAGAATGAAATGAACTCCAGATTTTTAACCGCTTAACTATAAAGATTTAACGGAATGAATATTGTTAAACTGAAGGTATTAACATATATTTAGTTAAATAAAACCAAAGCCAAATTCCACTACATTTACCTAAAATATATACTATATAAATAATTAATTATTTAACAAATCTTGGTTAAATTAATAAATTTATTTCATACATATTTTAGTTAGAAAAAAATAATTAAAAACCAATTTAAATTAAATATTACAATATTTTAAATCACATGTTTCATTATCACATCTAAACGAATTATTTAGACAAGTAATATATGAATTTTAAAATTATTGGATTATTAAAATTATTCAATTATTAAAATTATTCAAACAAGCTACAGATTTTAACATCCTACAAAGGAAAAAGAATAGGAAATTTAAAGTTGTCATCAGCGTAATTTCTAAACTCTTCAATGGTAAAAGATTCTTTTTAAAATAATTAAAATATTAAACAATTCTAGACGTATTTTTTCCTATAAAAAAATAGTATCCAATATTTTGCAGCCAAACTATAATTTAATTAATTACCAGCAATGAAGAGTTTAGTTCATGCAAAACCACATGAAGAGAACTCAGAAGAAAAGAATTTAACCAACCATCTTTCCATTTATTATTGTCAATCCCAAACAACTTGATTTTTTTAGTTATTTAGTTTTGAAAAGACTTTATTAATGGATATTTTAAAGGAAATCAATCCTAAATAACCCCAACTTAAAATACACAATGTTCAGTTAAAGAAAATAAAGAATCAAAATAATTAAACATCAACCATTTTCCGTGCGTAGCACGGACATTTGGGTTAGTATATACTAGGGGTGTTTCGACGCTACGCGCCGGTTTTCCAACATTATATTTTTTATTTATTGATGTAATAATTTAAGTATATAATTTGGTTGTTAATATGTATCTAATGTAATTTTATATATGTAATTTACATATTCTTGGCATCTTAAGAAAATATTTTATAAAACTATATGATTAATAATGGCAATGTTGTTGGTGTTATGCGTTTTTTTTTTTTTGAAGAAATTGTTGGCATTATACTTTGTTGGTGAGGTTATATATATATTTTCTAAAAAATTATATATTTGGATTTTTTATTTGTTTATAGGGTGTGTTTATTATAAAATGTGCCTTCTTCTTCGAATGTATTACTTTTTGTAATGGTTATTTAAAGGTTTATAGGATTGTGAATTTTCTATTATTTGGTGAGTACATTATGTTTATGTCTATATATGGCTGGAGGTTGTTATATGTGTGGCGAAGTGTTTTTCATTGTTGACCATTGTCCAAAATGGTATGACTCTGTCTTGATGTACATGAATCCTGTAACAATCTTAAACGAAAATAAAAAAAAACTAAAAAACTTAACTGTTGGTAAAACGTAAAATGGCCAACTATTAATATAAATTTATAAATATGTATAGGTACAATAAAATATTGAGTATGTATATGCTCAATTAAAAATTAAGGCTTGTATTGTACTTAACATATTCTGGAGAAATTCATAATATTTAAGATCTAGTAGATGGGTTCAATATCAAATTGAGTATGGAGGTTGTTATATGTGTGGCGAAGTGTTTTTCATTGTTGACCATTGTCTAAAATGGTATGACTCTGCCTTGATGTACATGAATCCTGTAACAATCTTAAACGAAAAAAAAAACTAAAAAACTTAACTGTTGGTAAAACGTAAAAGTGCCAACTATTAATAAAAATTTATAAATATGTATAGGTACAATAAAAAATTGAGTATGTATAGGCTCAATTAAAAATTAAGGCTTGTATTGTACTTAACATATTCTGGAGAAATTCATAATATTTAAGATCTATAGATGGGTTCAATATCAAATATTTTTTGAAGTTGAGAAAAGATTTTCATTCCAAAAATTTAATATTTTTTTTTAAAAACGAAACAATCAAAATACGGAAGCAGATTGTTGCAGGAATACTTTTATTATTTTATGGAAATTTGAAAAGAAGAGACTATAGAACTGTAACACCACTTTCTATCTTAGATGGACTACGATAGTGCATATTTTAACAAAAACGTTGCTTATTTGCAGAAGAGCCACCTTCATGGGGCACTCTGATAATAGTTCGGTAATAACATGTTGGACATAGCACTCACACCCATCTCATGGGACGCCTTTATCGACGACCACTCCAGTGATGCCTCTGCTGTTAGCAGGAACAACATTGTCAACACTGTGCTGGGGTCAGTTCCAGGAAGACCAAAGTCAACATCAGCTGAAAAAAATTGTGAAACCGGACCAGCTCCTCGCATATCATCGCCTTGGTTGTTGTGACCTTTCTGTAAAGACCACATCGGTACGATAACATATCTGTCTAAGGCAGACCCAGCACATAAAGTTAAGTTGATGTACAAACTTGATTCTCAAAATTAGGAAGAAGTAGAGGCTCGTTGAGATCAAATATGCGTGAGATCGTGAAAGACTGATGCTTTCCTAAGAAATTAAAATATGTAGGCTTGAGCTGGAGTGTGAATGTCCTCCCCACAATATCAGCAATGCATTGTATAAGGGCCATGTTATGTGGGTCTTTCTGTCCAGCGGCCTGTGCAACATAAAGGTGTGGATATATGTAATTTAGAGTTTGTTGAAACAACAACTCATACTAATAGGAGACTTTACAACTGCTACCATGAGTTGTGATATTGCAGCAGCAGGTACATTTGTCAACTTGCTCATTTAAGCGCCAAAACCAACTAACACAGAAGAGTCAGACGCATCCGACACATTCATCTCAGCACAGTACCTTAAAAAAACAGATATGAGTTGTTAGAAGGATCAGGAGGAGGACTGGATTAGACGTAACTGTACGTTTTAATGCAGACGGGAATGCAGAGTTGACCACCTAACAACTCCAACAACATTGTCGTCATTACATACATCATATGTAAAGGATGAGAACCCCCGTAGAGGTTTATGTGGGCACTTTGATCATGCGATATAGCACCACCCATGTTTCACTGTTGCTTACTTCTCCAGTGAAGAAGAACTCTTCAATCTATGATGCTTTGAGTCAGTAAAAGATAATAAGGAAAATATTTAATGGAAGGGACTGACTCAGAGTTTTACCTACGGTGTGAAGTTGAGGACATAAGAATTCAGGTCTGACACTTTCAATGATTCTATATTCTTGAGGACGAACCATCACTGCTTCGGTGAACTTGAAGATGCTCTTTCATATATCTTACAGATCGGTGGGCATCTGGATGGATTAGTCCACTCTGAAAATTTCTTCTTACACTTTTGTGACTTTCCTCCTTTACAGAACCATTTATTGATTTCATCTTGTTCCTCAGCCTTTCCGTTTTATTATTCTTCTTACACCATCACCCTCGTCTTTGACAACCACATCTTCTGCTGCAGCCACAACCAACTCCGCTGTCAGATTAATTTTTTTTTTTAAATAATCACTCTACAAAAAAAGAATCTGACATGTGACATGAACAAAGCGACTAACAAAACGCACCTATATTGCATTTCTAAAATCGACATGTGAAGATTATTCACAGGAATAATGCCTAATGAGAAGACCAACGTTATAAACATTTATTGAAGTCGTTAAATTTCAGACACATCAATGATCAAACATAGAAATGAAAACTTAACTCGGAGCAGAGAAAATGCTTTATTTACATCAAAAAGTCCTGAAGAGAATTAATCTACCAGACACCTAAGTTCAAATTTTTGGATCCTTAGTTGTGGCCAACGCTCCAGGTATAGTGTATGCCTGAGATGTCTCCCATCTCTCTGAATCTGATCAAGAGCATCAGCCGAGCTCGTGGTTGACATTAGATGAAGGATCTGCCACTAGAAGAAGGGTAAAGAAGAACCCTAAAATCCCATGTGCCACAGATCTTCTCTATTAAAAGAGAAGTACCAAATTTATCTACTGTTTAAAAGTCATGTTGGACCATGTCATTAGTTATTTAATTTGACATATTTGATTTTTACATTAACCAATCAAATATATATTATTTTCAAAATATCTTAATAGTTAATAAGGATATTAATAATAAATGAATTTAAATATAACAAAATCTGTTGAAAAAATCTAACAAGATCTCATAAAAAAAAATTAAATATTTTTTTTTATAAAATAAATATTTTTTTTAATTTCGTTATTAGATATAATTATATTTAAAACTAGAATATAAATCATATATTTAAAATTTTTAAATATTTATAAAATGGAAAATAAACCCGCACGGATGTGCGGGTGAAACTCTAGTGATTATGTTAAGATGGCTTTACATGGGCTCACTTGATAAGCTTAAACGTAACCCAATTGAATAATACACGGAACAAATTGCGTATGCAATTATCAAGCACAGAAGTAAGATAAATGCGTGAGATGCACAGGGACCTCAGCGTTTCGATACGTGGAGAAAAACCCCCTATCTAAAAAGGATGTGAACGCAGATAACACAACTTTATTTATAAAGATATATATTTATGGGAATTCAATTTTTTTGGGTTATAAGTTAATATAGAATTTGTTATCTGATAAACTTAGAAATATTTGTTATCTAAGATAATAATACATATCTTCATATATTTCAAACACAATCTTATCCTTTAAACTAAGAATTAATATGTAATGAGACAATTTTCCTAAGGACATCTTCAATCCAACTCTATTTTTTATTTTAAAATG